GGTATCAGCTGATATGGCTGGTTAATAATCAGCCATCAGTATCAGCCAAAAAAATCTTTATTGGTGCACCCCTAATTACCCTTTACACATAAGAAGGGTTTTTCAAACTTTGTTAAGATGTTGCTCTTGAAATTAAGATTGACAATAAACTAGTAATGAGTGCTTAATTGTAGGGTGTATAGTCAATGACTAGACATCAGCTAACTTGATGTTTTTTGATAGGTTCTATTTTTTCTTTAAAACTGGACAAATTTATAAAACAATATTTAATAAAGAATACAAAAACACCACAATAGTTACTCACCAAGCTGGCCACTACCACTTAGCCTCCCCTAGGAAATGCTTAGGGAAGCAAATTTATTTTGGAGCATGATTTACTTTTATAGCAAATTTTGGCTCTCATTAATTAGGCAGGTGTCAAAGTTTGCAGTTGAGATCCCATCTGATGTCCTTGTAATTAAATCACAAGACTACAAGCTTAAATGTTACCAGTGATCAAAATTGTAATGGTGCAATATGCAGAGATAGGGCCACACCTACTTACCACATTGAAGATTAAAGTTTGTTTAAATAAGAAGCTGGCAGTCAGTACCCATTATGAGTACAGATGTTTCCCTAGTAGAAACACTTCTCTGAGCAGGTGGGCTTCTATATTGAGCACCAGCTGCATTTTCCTGCTTGTTAGGGGATCCAGAAAAATATAGAGATGGCACCCAGTACCAAGTCTTTACTTCCATACCAACATCAACCATATTTGATGGAGTCCCTTATGTAGGGAGACCAGTACTGCAGTAAGGGCAGTGCTAGTAGTGCACTGGCACCAGATGCCCTCCCACAGGGGGTGCCAAATCATATGGACAGTGACAGAACCCTGTGCAGAGAGGGGCCAGGGAAAGTGAGAGCAGCAGGTGCACACAGAGCCCAGCTTCCCTTCTCCCTATGTGCCCCCCCACCTCCATTCCCACTCCTGGTCACTTCACTTGAAGTCTCAGCCAGGAGTGGGACTCACAGGCCACTTCCTGTGAGGCAGGATGGATTGATCCCAGCACACACCTGAGCACTGCTTCCCATCCTGCCCTGCCACTGCAACTCCCAGCAGAATGGGCCAAGTTCCTGCCCCAGTCCCATGTTGAGAAGAGGCCAGCTTGAGCCCAGCTGAACTCACAGGCAGCAAACATGCCTGGCTTGTCCCAGCCCTGGAAGGAACCGCCTACATGTAGATGCAGAGAGCAGTCATGAAGGTAGAGGCAGGAGGGATAAACATTTTTTATTGTATTTTTTCCATCAAGTTCTTGCCCCTTTTAATGTGCAATGCTGGACATGCAGAGGCTACAGCAACCGTGTGGGGATGTATGTTGTTCTGCGCTATACACGTATTTGTATATACTTAAGGTGTTCCCATATTGTATCATACAAGTGTCTTTTATCAAAAAAACAGAAACAGTAACATATAATATATTGTTACATAGTAGCACGTAGGGGTTGCTCTGCATGTGACCTGCATCAGGTGCCAAAGTGTTTGGCTACAGCTCTGAGGACAATATTGAGCTTCTTCCCTAGGAACAGAAGTTACACATAAACGGGTTTCAGTCATCAGATACTGGTTTAAGCCTGTAACAGAACAGAAGCTCAGTGCACATAAACCATGTTCAAAATAGCTGAAACTGGTTTAAGATAAACCTGGGTGAATGTAGTATCAGACTTAACTGATACAGGTCAAACCAGTTTATGAAATCTCTGTCTCAGACCCCTTCCTGGTTCAAGTTTAATCACAGTCCCCCATCATCCCAGCATGCTTTTCAGCCCTGGTCTGGCCTGTGTTGCCTGCTCTAGCAGAGAAGGGTTTGGGAGCAGGAGGTGGGGAGGAAGGGACTGTCTCCCCACCAGGCAAACCTCGTCTGAGAGGGGGCTTAAACCCTGCTTCTCCTGAGTACAGAGCTGCCCTGCCCTGCTAAAATTACTGTTGGCTGCAACTATGGATTACAAACCCCAGCGGCACCTGGAAGAAGGAAGAGGAAGTGATGAGCAACCCTTCAGAGTCTTGCTTCTGTGATTGTGGACTGCAAATCCCAGAGACCTCAGGGAGGCAGCAGGAAGAGGAAGCAAATGCATAGCCCATGCTGGCTACGTGCCAGAGAGCCATACTCAAGCACCCCCCTGGCTTTTGGCCTGAGTCACTGCAGGCATGTGGCTACAAAAGTGAATATCTGTTTACTTGTTAGTCAGTTTAATCTCTGCACCTGAATCGATTCAGATTGTCTGTATTTAGCCCTTATGAATGGGTTGATCATTGCAGCCTCTAGATCAGGGTAGGCAACTTCTGGAATGGGTGTGAGAGCGTGGCACAGGAAGGCATTTTGCTTGGCATGTGTGCCTTGGGGCGAGTGGTAGGGAAGGGGGTGGGGCTGTGCTGCCACAACAAGGATCAGGCCCCTCACAGCTCCCCTGCCTTGTGCCTCTGGCATGCCAACATCTTGCAAATTGAGGCTACCAGTGTTTTTGGCACTCTGCCCAAAAATGTTGCCAATCCCTGCTCTAGAGAACTAGAAGAAAAATATCCTATCTTTCATTTGGCAAACATTTTTCAAGTATATATTTTCAACCTGTTATATAGATCCTGTAAGGTTCTTGGCTTCTTTTGGGTCTTATAAAAAATTCATGCTTATACAAAGTATTATAACAAAAGGAAACTGTATAATGGGAAGAAACAATTACTTGCATTACTGAAAAAAGGTTTAGAATTGGAAAGAAAGTTTTTTCATTTTTTGTTTGTTAACCAAATAATTTTATAGATTCCTGTTTAGATTCAAACTTTATATACTATGTTTAATGATACTGAAAAATAAATTAGAGAGATCTGGCAAGAGAAATTAATAGCAGATGTAGCAACATGCATTTTAGGAATGATTCCTTTAAAGAGGTTTACTGAACTTTATACTAATTTCAGCTATCAGTATGCTTGTCAAAAGAAACCAGTGGTTATGTTTAGGGACCTAACTAAATCAAGGCGGCAGATGGGCAGTTTTGCAGGCTGTGTGTGGCACTGAGCTCCATTTTCATAGGTTTATTGCAGTGAGTCTTCCCCCTTCACTGATTGGTCAGGGAGCTGTGGCAGCCCTGCTCCTCGTCGCTGATTGGACAACACGACTACCTTTCATGCGGTCCCACCCCTCATTGCTGATTGGTGGAGAGGGCTGCCGTTCATGCTGCCCTACCCCATACCACTGATTGGCAGAGGGGGGCAGGGCCACATGAAAAGCAGCCTTCTCAGCTAATCAGTGGGGGAGAGTGGAGAGGTGGCTGCCATCCTGGCCACTCCCCTTTGTGCTGACTGTCCCTCCTCCGTCCCACCATAGGCTGTGCAGCTGGGCTACAGCTGCAACTGGCTCCCACTGGGGAGCCAGTATTTTATTTTTAGTAAGTTGGGGGTTTTTTCCCTGGTGATTCCATGCAAAGTCCAAAAGTTGTGAAATTACGATTTGAGTAGATCCCTAGTTATGTTGTGAATTCCCAGATGCTAAAACAATTTGAAAGAAAGAGGAGAGACGAAGAGTCATGTGCCATGAGTTGAGACCTACTGAATTTGTAGCAGAAGTGGGCTATGTGGAGGCTCCTTTAATCTTGCAGATTTCCTTGTGTGCTTCTCCCATCCCCGCTACTGATTGGCAGAGGAACCCTGTCGCTCACTGCTTGGTCCTGATTGGTGGGGAGACAAAAACTGCAGTTTTAAGTATGGTGCTGTTTTTGCCTCCTGGATGGTCAGCAGCAAGCAGTGAGGCTGCAAGAGCTCCTTGGTCAGTCAGAGGCAGAAGACAAAAACAGCGCCATATTTAAAACTGCAGTTTCCCTGCCAATCAGGAATGAGTGGTGAGAGGAAAAAATGGTTCATATTTTAAAACCATGGTTTTTGCTTTCCTGCTGATCAGGATTGAGCAGGGGGGGTTTCCTCTGTCAATCAGTGGGGGGGGGGAGGCTGTGGGCTGGCTGGGGGAATCTGCAAGATTAAAGGAGCTGCTGTGCAGCCCATTTCTGCCACCATGGGTAAGTCCCATCCTGGTTCCCCGGGACAG